TATATATATATGATTCAGACTTTTGTTCTGCTGGCTTTTGTTTTGTTTTCACATTCAGATTAAATTCATTCTTCAATAAATTTCAGCAAAATCTTTCATTTCGCTGCCTGTTTGCAGAAAAGGCAGTTCCTCTAGTTTCATTTCGATGTCAGTTTGACTCATAAGGATTTTACTGTAAAACGTTGTTTTATTACCAGGAGGTGCAGAGTGCAGGGAGCTCAGGATGGGTTCTCTGGTCGTACCTGAGGATGAATCGTCTGGGCTGACCATGCTGAGCAGGTCCTTCTCCCTTTCATAGTCACCCCTGCACAGCAGCTGACCCTTCTTCAGGACAAACTCGTCTCCTTTGCACAGCTGCCTCTCACACACGCAGCAGCAGAAGCAGCTGAGGTGGTAAACACTTTCCAGAGCTCGCATCACAAACTCTGTCGGTGAGATTTTCTCCAGGCAGCCGCTGCACTTTGTGGAAAATAACCTGAGGACAGACAGAAGGAAAAGAGTCATTATATTATTATCAAAGCTCAGTAATTAGCAGCAAATTATCTATTTAAAAGGCAGTAAAACACAAAATGTACAAGTGTTGGTTTTCGTAAATGAAACTGATTACAGCTTAATTTTGGTTATGACATTTGGCAACGTTTGCAATTCAAATTAACACAATGGTTTAATGACGGCCCACTAAACTGGTTATAAGACTCTAACCACACTGAGTGGTAAAAAGACAGAATTTTAGCTCAATGAAAACCTGACGGAGTTTGAGCCACTTTTGAGTTGTCTAAAAATAATACACTCATGGCGGCCATCTTGAACAAACCATTGCATAGCAGAACCTAACTCTTCTCACAGGTCACATGGGATAAACCAGAGTTGTAAAGTAACTAAGTACAAATACTTTGTTACTGTACTTAAGTAGAAATTTTGGTTATTTGTACTTTACTTGAGTAATTATTTTTCAGCGTACTTTTTACTTTTATTCATTACATTTTTACACAATTATCTGTACTTTCTACTCACTACACTTTTTAAAAAGGTAAGAAGTAGAAAGTCGTTATTCCGAGTTATTACTTTAAAAAAATACTATCCTGATAAATTGTGTCTCCTGGATGGAGTGAATTTAATTGTGGTTGGATGAGAAGTATAAATATTTACCATTCTGACACACTGTTAACTTGTACACAACCCATCACAGCTGCACGCTGTTAGAAAAAATATTTTTTGGAGAAGTCACCTCCCAATAAATGTCATTTTGGAAAATCTAACTGATCACTTTCACTCAGTACTTTTACTTTTAATACTTAAGTAGATTTTGTGTCAGAAATTTACTTTTGATACTTAAGTACAAAAAATATAAGGTACTTAAGACTTTTACTCAAGTAATATTTTTAGAGAAGACTTTAACTTTTACCAAAGTATTTTTTTGATAAGGTACTTGAACTTTTACTCATCACTTCAGGTACTTTATACAACACTGGGATAAACGCTGAGGTTGCAGTGGAAACGCCATAAATTTAACAAGTTCAAGCTCAAAAAGCAGATTTATTATTTTGATATTTATGAAAATTCTCATCAATGATCTTACAAGAAAGTTGAACACAAATAGGTTTGGAGCAAATACTCTGGTCTGAATAACAGAGTAAATTTACCAGTTAAATAGCAAACTCAGCGTATATCTTGAAAAACAAGAGTGCTCGGCCCGCTTCACGTGCATTAACTATAAAATGGTTTATTGAGTTGGTTTTAAAACTTAATGATTCTTTCTAAAAGGTTATAATTTGTCCAAATAACTGATTAATACAGACAGACACATACAAACACACAAACAAGCAATTTCACGATTGCTCACATTTTATGGCAATAGATTACAAAAATAAAATTGAAGGAATCAGAAAAAACAAGAACATACGGTATGTATATTTTTTTAAATAGAGGTGTAAAATGTAACATTTCAAGCTGCACTATTGTGTCATCAGCCATATAAATTATGACTACCGTATTTTTCGGACTATAAGCCGCACCCCCAACATAAAAAACAAACAGTACACCCAAATTTGTCGTCAAAAAAGTGAATTCAACATCAAAACATAAAAAGCAAACCTTTAAGAATTAAAGTTCGGAGGAATATGGTTCATATAACTGACCTTATTTTGGTACGGGTACATACAATTAAATGTGATCCTCTGCTGTAAACACCTGACTCGTGGCACTGACATCAGTGTTTAGAGGTTTACCACAAACCCTGATATTTTTATAGAGCAACCACACTTCCTGCTTCACAACAGACCTGCCTTACAAAAAAAAAACTCTGCTTCTTTTCTAAAAAAAACTATTAAAACTTGTTTGAAGAAAACAGAAAGAGATGAAAAATCTGAGGTGTTCAGTCTGGGATCAGAATCTGTTTATTTCACCAAACGTGTTAGACATACAAGGAATGTGAGTTGGACACGTGAAAAACATGAAACAAGCGCAAAAGGTTTGCAAGGCTAATGGAAATTTAACATCTAAACACAAACTAGAATTTATAGTTGTGGATAACAGAATGAGGCAGTGCAAATGTGCAGCAATACGTACTTCTTTTTGTTTTCACAGTTTTTTAAATTCAGATTAGTTGTGGATTAAATTATAATCAGAACGTGAGGTGTCTGTGGTTGAGGAAGAAGCTGTTAGTGTGGTGTGTCCTGGTTTTGATGATCCTGAAGTCTGATCCATAAAGACTGCTGTTGGTTGGTGCATGCTGCTGTAACTGAACAACTAACAACCAGAAGGCAGATGTTGGTGAACAGAATGAATGAGCCAGTGGCATCCTTACACCTTTCAAGCCTTCTGCACATGTTAATGTGTTTTGATGCTCTAATGTCCCACAGGAAGTCTTATCAAAGGCTCAGATGGAAAAAAAGAAGCGATTTTCCAACCACAAAACACCAAATGTGAAAACATGTTCAAGAAGGATGTGGGAAGCTTTACAAGAGCTGCTCTTCCTGAACTCTGGTGTTCTGTGACTGCTTTACAGTTTAGGAAGTCAAGCTGCTACATTTACTGAATTTTCCTTTTAGTGTTCCTAAAAATATTTTTGACTACGGCACCAGCTTATTCTAAATGTTTGGAAGAGTAAACAGACAAAAATGATCACTTTACCATCAGTGTTGTATAAAGTACCTCAAAGTGATACTTGAGTAAAAGTACAAACATCTTATCATAAAAATACTTTGGCAAAAGTTAAAGTCTTTAAAAATATTACTTGAGTAAAAGTCTTAAAGTATCTGATATTTTTTTTACTTAAGTGCCAAAAGTAAATTTCTGACACAAAATCTACTTAAGTATTAAAAGTAAAAGTACTGAGTGAAAGTGAACAGTTAGATTTTCCAAAATGACATTTATTGGGAGGTGACTTCTCCAAAAAATATTTTTTCTAACAGCGTGCAGCTGTGATGGTTTGTGTACAAGTTAACAGTGTGTCAGAATGGTATATATTTATACTTCTCATCCAACCACAATTAAATTCACTCTATCCAGGAGACACTATTTATCAGGATAGTATTTTTTTAAAGTAATAGCAACTCAGAATAAAATAGGAGTAACAACTTTCTACTTCTTACTTTTTTAAAAAAATGTAGTAGAAAGTACAGATAATTGTGTAAAAATGTAATGAGTAAAAGTAAAAAGTACGCTGAAAAACAATTACTCAAGTAAAGTACAGATAACCAAAATTTCTACTTAAGTACAGTAACAAAGTATTTGTACTTAGTTACTTTACAACCCTGCCATCACCACAAACAATTCAAGATGCACATTAACCTGCAATAAGGAGAAACAACAGTTAAAGACATCACCAGATTTTGTTCTATCTTTACACAAAGTGCATTAGGATAAAAAACAACAAATAACTTTGTTATCTATTGATGGTGTTGCAAGTTATAAATTTAGAATAAAAAGAGAAATGAAGCTTATGTGCAACTTCAAACTGAAGGACTCTCTCCACCTCACCTGCTCCCTCCAATCACTGCGTCACGCTCCCAGCTGCAGTCAATCAGCATCAGATCCTCGCCTCACCGCACCAATCAACTCACAGATCCAGGTCTAAAGGCCCAGCACCCATATGTTCTGCTCCCCACATGAGTTTGACTCCACCTCCATCTCTTCCTGGCTACCTCCGCTCTCTGGCCTCCACACCACCACCGGTGTCCGCAACGTTAATCCTAAACCTAAGCTGATTTCTAGCTCTCAGAGTTTCCTGCCAGGGCTCAAGGTGCAAAATAAATTTTCGTGTCAATAAAACAGTTTAACTGCTATTTTTCTCCGTGTGCGTCTTTCCATGTTGAATGAAACAATAAGAAAATGCATTTGCTTTGAAAATGCGGAGGAACACTTGAGTGCTGAAAGATTTTGCAGAAATTTGATAAAGAAGCTGAAACTAATCTTAAAATCAAAATAAGCAGAAGAACAAAAGACAAAATTGTCAAAACTGTTGTCAAACACAGCTAAAGGCAAAGATTAGAAAAACCATAGCGTTCAAATTTACTAAACAAAAGTTTCAAAGCTAAAATTACTAAAATCCCACACTGCAAAAATGTCCACCTAACCAAGTTTTAAAATCTTATATCAGCCAAAAAGTCTTTTTGATCTTGTTTTGAGACTGATTTACTGAACAAGAACTGATTGTGTAAGAATAATAATCTTGTTTTCAGAATGTGTCAGATTATTTGTCTTGTTAGTCTGAAAATATAACTCAAATTAAGTCAAAATTTCTGCCAGTGGAGTAAGAAAATTTTACTTGGTAAGATTCTTGAAATACTTGATTTGACTCAATTTTTTCTTATTTCAAGAATCTTACCAAGTAAAATTTTCTTACTCCACTGGCAGAAATTTTGACTTAGTTTGAGTCAAATTTTCAGACTAACAAGACAAATAATCTTACACATTCTGAAAACAAGATTATTATTCTTACACAATCAGTTCTTGTTTAGTAAATCAGTCTGAAAACAAGATTAAAAAGACTTTTTGGCTGATATAAGATTTTAAAACTTTGTTAGGTGGACAGTTTTTGTAGTGTTGTCTGGAGTTAGACTGCTTTAAGTGTAGGTTTCATCTCAGTAAAACATGTGTGGCATTTTGTTTGGGGGAGGGTCTTACCGG